CCCTTGCAACACGAAAGGACGAAGCGAGGGAACGTATGACAAACCTCTAAGCCCCTACCAAATCACAGGACCAAGGAAACGGGGGGGACAAATGACAAACCTCTAGGACAGCCACTAGCCCCTCATAGTTTGAGCACGGAAGCAAATCATATATGACGATCATCTAGACTCTAGACGCTCCCCCCAAACCCTACAAGCTCGAAGAAAGTGGATATACGACTAGCCTCCAGGGCCCTCACAAAACCCTTACCACCCATACAACGCGAAAAAACGAAGGAAGGAGACATACGACAAACCTCTAGGGCAGTCACTAACCCCACATAGTACGAGCACGGAAGCAAATGATGTATGGTAATCATCTCGACACTCCTCAATTCTCCAAGCTCGAAGAAAGGGGACACACGACAAACCTTCAAGGCCCAACAAACCCTACAACACGAAGGGGCGAAAGGAGGGGACATACGACAAAGCTCTAGGCCCCTACCAAAGCTCAGGAACAGGAATCGGGGGGACATACGACAAACCTCTAGGGCGATCACTAGCCCCTCACAATACGAGCGCGGAATCGAATTATATATATATATATATATATATATCAGTCGTCTAGGCTCCCCAAACCCTACAAGCACGAAGAAAGGGGACACACGCAAACATCCCACGAAGGAACGAAGGGAGAGGAATTACGACAAACCTCTAGACCCCTACCAAATCATAGGAATACGAAGCGGGGGGGCACACGAGAAATCTTTAGGGCAATCAATACCCTCATAGCGACTGCGGAAGCAAATGATATATGATAATCATCTAGACACTCCCCAAACCCTGCAAGCACGAACAAAGGGGACATACGAAAAACCTCCAGAGCGCTCACGAAACCTTACAACACGAAGGGACGAAGGGAGGGGACAAAAGATAAACCTCTAGGCCCTTCCAACTCACAGGAACACGAAGCAGGGGGGCATACGACAAACCTCTAGGGCAGTCAATAGCCCTCACAATACGACCACAGAAGCAAATGTCTTATGACAATCATCTAGATGCCAAGAAAGGGGACACACGACAAACCTGTAGGCCCCTACTACATCACAGGAACAAGCGGAGGGCATACGACAAACCTCTAGGGCAGTCACTAGCCCCGCACAATACGAGCCCGGAATCAAATTACATATGTCAGTCGCCTAGACGCTCCCCAAACCCTACAAGCAAGAAGAAAAGGGACATACGGCAAATTTGCCGGGCTCTCACAAAACCCTTGCAACACGAAAGGACGAAGCGAGGGAACGTATGACAAACCTCTAAGCCCCTACCAAATCACAGGACCAAGGAAACGGGGGGGACAAATGACAAACCTCTATGACAGTCACTAGCCCCTCATAGTTTGAGCACGGAAGCAAATCATATATGACGATCATCTAGACTCTAGACGCTCCCCCCAAACCCTACAAGCTCGAAGAAAGTGGATATACGACTAGCCTCCAGGGCCCTCACAAAACCCTTACCACCCATACAACGCGAAGGGACGAAGGAAGGGGACATACGACAAACCTCTAGGGCAGTCACTAACCCCACATAGTACGAGCACGGAAGCAAATGATGTATGGTAGTCATCTCGACGCTCCTCAAACTCTCCAAGCACGAAGAAAGGGGACACACGACAAGCCTTCAAGGCCCAACAAAACCCCTACAACACGAAGGGGCGAAAGGAGGGGACATACGACAAAGCTCTAGGCCCCTACCAAATCTCAGGAACAGGAAATGGGGGGGACATACGACAAACCTCTAGGGCGATCACTAGCCCCTCACAATACGAGCGCGGAATCGAATTATATATATATATATCAGTCGTCTAGGCTCCCCAAACCCTACAAGCACGAAGAAAGGGGACACACGCAAACATCCCACGAAGGAACGAAGGGAGAGGAATTACGACAAACCTCTAGACCCCTACCAAATCACAGGAATACGAAGCGGGGGGGGCACACGAGAAATCTTTAGGGCAATCAATACCCTCATAGCGACTGCGGAAGCAAATGATATATGATAATCATCTAGACACTCCCTCAACCCTACAAGCACGAACAAAGGGGACATATGAAAAACCTCCAGAGCGCTCACGAAACCCTTACAATACGAAGGGACGAAGGGAGGGGACAAAAGATAAACCTCTAGGCCCCTCCCAACTCACAGGAACACGAAGCAGGGGGGCATACGACAAACCTCTAGGGCGGTCAATAGCCCTCATAATACGACCACGGAAGCAAATGACTTATGATGACAATCATCTAGACGCCAAGAAAGGGGACATACGACAAACCTCCAAGGCCGAATGCAACCCTCACAACACGAAGGGACGAAGGGAGGGGACATATGACAAGCCTCTGGCCCCTACCAAATCTCAGGATTACGAAGCGGGGGAATATACAACAAACCTCTAGGGCAGCCACTAGCCCCTCATAGTACGAGCGCGGAAGGAATGATTTTTGACAATTATCTAGACAATCCCCAAACCCTACAAGCACGAAGAAATCGGACATGCGACAAACCTCTGGGGCCCTCACAAAACCCTTACAACACGAACGAAGAAAACAACTCATACAAACCTCTGGGCCCCTACCAAATCACAACAACACGAAGCGGGGGGACATACGACTAACCTCTAGGGCAGTCACTAACCCCTCAAGATGGGGGGTGAAAGGGATTATGGGAGATGATGGGGAATGATGATGGGGGATGATGGGGGATGATGCGGGATGATGGGAGATGATGGGGGATGATGGGGAATGATGGGGGATGACGCGGGATGAGAGACATGATGGGGCATGATAGGGGCTGATCGGGGACGATGATGGGGGCTGATGGGGGATGATGGTGGATGATGGGGGGGTGAAAGGGATTATGAGAGATGACGGGGAATGATGATGGGAGATGATGGGGGATGATTGGGGGATGATGGGGCATGATGGGGGATGAGAGAAACGATGGGAGATGATGCGGGGTGATGTGGGATGGGCAATGAGCGGGTATGTCTGAAATCCTGGAAAAGACAAATCCCGGGGTTTGATTTTAAAGGGTTTTAATTCTTTTTCGGCATCTTAACTTTTTATGAACTCCTTACACCATCAAATCCGGTATTTGATTTTTGTTAAGGGTTTCAAGGATATTACCCTAAACCCTAAACCCTAAACCCTAAACCCTAAACCCTAAACCGTAAACCCTAAACCCTAAACCCTAAACCGAACCCCGGGATTTAGTTCTTTAAGGATTTCAATGATTTTTTGGGCATTTTAAATTTCATGAAATCCTTGAAAAATTAAATCCCGGGATTTAGTTTTTCAAGGATTTCAAGGATTTCATAAACTTTAAATACCGGAGCTCCTGCAAAAGCAAACGCCCCCCTCCCCACTCAGAATACGGGAAGACCACGCGGATTTTAAAATTTATGAAATCCTTGAAATCCTTGAAATCCTTGAAAAACCAAATCCCGGGATTTAATCTTTCCAAGGATTTCATAAAATTTATAATGCCCCAAAAAAGCCTTGAAATCCTTAAAATATTAAATCCCGGGATTTGATTTTTTAAGGATTTCAAGGATTTTTTGGGCATTTTAAATTTTATGAAATCCTTGAAAAATTAAATCCCGGGATTTGATTTTTCAAGGATTTCAAGGACTTCATAAAATTTAAATACCGGAACTCCTGCAAAAGCAAACCCCCCCCCCCTCCCCTCTCAGAGTGCGGGAAGACCACGCGGATTTTAAAATTTATGAAATCCTTGAAATCCTTGAAAAATTAAATCCCGGGATTTGATTTTTCAAGGATTTCATGAAATTTAAAATGCCCAAAAAATCCTTGAAATCCTTAAAAAAATCAAATCCCGGGATTTAATATTTTAAGGATTTCAAGGATTTTTTGGGCATTTTAAATTTTATGAAATCCTTGAAAAATTAAATCCCGGGATTTAATTTTTCAAGGATTTCAAGGATTTCATAAAATTTAAATACCGGAACTCCTGCAAAAGCAAACCCCCCCCCCTCCCCACTCAGAGTACGGGAAGACCACGCGGATTTTAAAATTTATGAAATCCTTGAAATCCTTGAAAAACCAAATCCCGGGATTTGATTTTTGAAGGATTTCATGAAATTTAAAATGCCCAAAAAATCCTTGAAATCCTTAAAATATTAAATCCCGGGATTTGATTTTTTAAGGATTTCAAGGGTTTTTTGGGCATTTTAAATTTCATGAAATCCTTGAAAAATCAAATCCCGGGATTTAATTTTTCAAGGATTTCAAGGATTTCATAAAATTTAAATACCGGAACTCCTGCAAAAGCAAACGCCCCCCTCCCCACTCAGAGTACGGGAAGACCACGCGGGTTTTTGAAATTTATGAAATCCTTGAAATCCTTGAAAAATCAAATCCCGGGATTTAATTTTTCAAGGATTTCATAAAATTTAAAATGCCCAAAAAATCCTTGAAATCCTTAAAATATTAAATCCCGGGATTTGATTTTTTTAAGGATTTCAAGGGCTTTTGGGGCATTTTAAATTTCATGAAATCCTTGAAAAATCAAATCCCGGGATTTAATTTTTCAAGGATTTCAAGGATTTCATAAATTTTAAAATCCGCGTGGTCTTCCCGTACTCTGAGTGGGGAGGGGGGGTTTGCTTTTGCAGGAGTTCCGGTATTTAAATTCTATGAAATCCTTGAAATCCTTGAAAAATTAAATCCCGGGATTTGATTTTTCAAGGATTTCATGAAATTTAAAATGCCCAAAAAATCCTTGAAATCCTTAAAATATTAAATCCCGGGATTTGATTTTTTTAAGGATTTCAAGGATTTTTTGGGCATTTTAAATTTTATGAAATCCTTGAAAATCAAATCTAGGGATTTCCCCGGCGGCAAAAGAGGCGTGCCAAATAGACCCTAAAGGTCCTACGTACATATATATATATATATACCCCAGATTTACTCCTTTCGACCGTGTTGTTTTCGGAGCAACTTCTAATTATCAGTCCCTTCCTTTGTCCTGCGGTGAGGCGCCCCGCATTCGCCGCAGGCCCAGATCTTCTGAGGCCCACCCACCTCGACAACACTCGCAAGAAGAAAGTGGAGAGAAACAACAAAAACCAACCACGAAATTAACCAAAGCTCTCAAACTGCTCTCCCACGCAAAGAACAGTAAGTGAAGACGAAAAGTGTCTGAGTACAACGCCTCATGTCCCTCCCCTCATCATACCAAACACAATACCCGCCAGCCTTGCATCCGACACCTTCCAGAGGGTCCGGATCTTCTCCGCAGGGCTCATCGTCGTAGCGACGCAGTCGTATGTAACCTTGCTCATCCCACAACGCTCGACAATGTGATTGACAATGCCTGAGAAAAACTCAGAATGCAAGTCCAAGTTGCCATTTTCTCCGAAGTTCTCTCCCCACGAATTCCTGACAGGGAGTGGAGATGACAGACTGTTTTCCTGCCGGTGTTCTTCCATGCCAGCATGTGCAATGTGCTGCGGTATCCTGACGAGCCAATATTTGGTGCCATTCTCGATGCCGTATCCATCTAGCACAACGGCATGGTTGATGTTGGGGGCCGTTTTGTTGCAGCCATCGTAAATGCCTGAAAAGGGACAGGCCCTGCTATGCCGAGAAGTGAGAGGCACCATGCACTGCATCAAGCAGGTCACAGATTTGATGCTGGGACAGAAGCTAAAGGAAAGCAGTCGGCTTCCTGCCTCCTCCGTACATCCACCAGTCAGTGGCATCCACGGAGACCGCTATCGGACCGATCTTAGCAACTGCTTCCATCAAGGCCTGCGCACAGCTGCAGATGCATGCCAGCCACGCGTGAAGACTTCAAAAATGCATGCGGGGGGGGGGGGGGGGGGGGGGCTGCGGCCACGTACTGGCTCGCCTTGGGATCATTCTGATCCAGGGTGACGAAGCCTGTGATGCTGGCTGTTCGGGGCAACCAGAACTTCGTATTGTTCTCGCCTTGCAGAGTCCAAGAGCATGCTGTCATGATTCCGTGCCATGGGCGGTGCCCCACCTAACAGTCCAACGATTTCGTAAGAGCAAGGCATCGGCGGCTTCGGAACTCCATGCCACTCAAGTACGGGTCATGCCAAATATCCGGCACACCACCTGCAAGCATGCAATGTGGCACACAAGCCACTTCATGAACGCTCTGATTGGGAAATTTGGGGACAAGTGCTTGTGCGAGCTGTCATGTACAAACGTCGCAACACAGTGTGCTGACGAGCCTGCTTCAACAGCGTAAGCGAAGGCGAGCTGAGCGGTAGCTCCGCTGCAACCGCCATCACCCCCGCAACCATCTGGATTCGGCGAACAGGAAGTCATCTCCTGACTTTGTGCTGCAAGAGTTTGCACGGTAACTCCACGTTCTTGCCTGCAAGAAGCTTGCTTCCGGCAGGAAGCCTATATTCTGCATTATGCTGCACGATGTCCAAGTAGAAAGAGCGGTTGATGTGCGTTTCTGTTCAACAACTGCAATGCGGTACTTTCGGTGCAGAAGAAGATCCTGAGGAGACAATGATAGCAGCACACCCGTATTGATGGCCACGTGGCTTTCCTTGGCAATTGCAATAGTCACAGGCGAAGCGGCGAAGTATGCACAACATGTGCTTGGATTCCACCCTGCCAGGGAACTATCACGGTGGAGGCAGCAAAGGCCCAACAACTGCCGCAACCTCGATCGGAGCAAGGGTCGCCGCAGGTCGCCATGCTGTGCGGGCGTACGCTCGCAAACTAAGGCTTCAACCTCCTTGACCTGGGCTCAGGCTAAGGCTCAGAATGATTCAGAATAAGTCAGCACATTCTGCGCCAATTGCGAACGAAGACCGCGTTGATGACAGCTCTCATCACAGCATGACATGCTCGGCATGGCCCGCACCACAATGACATTCCGACCCCATGAATTTGATTTCTCGACAGCTTCTCTTGGTAGATTTCTCACTCTCGAACGTAGTCCCCAGACCTATCTACGCCCCCTGCGTCTCTGAATCCTCTTCCCGGAAATACTCTGGCGACGAAAACTCACGAAATGGCAGCCTAAGGGCTCTTCACCGGTGAGCAAACAGCGGGGCTTCGTTGGCGCCAGTCGACAGACTCTGGGAGCTTCATCCTCCTGCGACCAATTGCGAGCCCCCTGCCCTGCATCCTGCACCCATGCATAGAGCAGGTCCTGGTCTTTCCAGACTTTGATGCCCTTGCTGACTGGCCCTGAAAAGATGCACAAAGAAGGCACTGAAAAACCCCTCAGTTTTTGGAACTCCTTCGACTTTTCAGACTGGCAAGACTTTTAAGACACGGATCAGCAGGTGTCAGCAGCTGTCAGAAGCGTCACATGTCTCTAAGCCGGCCTCCTTTGCGCCGCGAAGCTCCTGGATTCGCTTAGGAGTCTTCTTGCGACATACAAGTCGTGCGCCAAAGACTGTTGCAAAAGAATGCCCTTTGCTGACTGCGCTCCCTCTACACATCTGCACACCACATGCTCATGTTCACACCTTGCGGTAGCCACGGCTGCTCTGAAGCTCGCTGGTGGTGGCATCGGTAAGATGGTTGATTCCTCGGCACTACATGCAACTGCTGAGGAGCAAAACGCACAGCACCTGAGATGTCGAGATGCCTGCAGTCCAGGTCCTCGAAGAACCCACTGCCGTCAGCAGTGCTTTACGCTGCTCGAACAGCACCTTGCGCATATTGTACCTTGGAGATGTGTTCTGCAACAAGCTTCCCCGATCAGTTGCCGCCCAGACGACAGAACACCAAAAGCGTGCTTTTCGCCGAGAAACTCCTCGACATTCTCGTACACCTTGACTCACTACTGGCAAAGAAATATCTTTCTTCTTCTTCCTCATCAATGTCTCTCTTCTACTTGAGGGCCTCTCCCTCTGTGATAATACCCCGCAAGCAGGTACCGAAGTGTGAAGTCTTGTCTGCGATGCCTTTTCCACGATTACCTATCTCTCTATGTTTTTTCCCCTTGAGGGGCTTCAGCCCGAGCGAGAATGAGAATCTAAGGAAAAAGGGAACATCTCTTCTTTGTCTTTCTTGGGGCATGAAGTGAAAACCCCCCGGGTACCCCCCAGGTTGGAGTGGTCCGTTGTGCTCGGATATTGGTGGGGGTGATATCGACCCCCCATGACCCCCCCCAAATTCGGTTGCCAGGTTACGCCAGGCGACCGTATGGCTGCATCCCCCCTCGTTGGCTTGCGTATCAGCCAGAAACAAGCTTCGTAGCTTCGGGGGCAAGAAGCTGCAAGGCTATCGGATCGGCACGGAAGAGCCAGCCCGCCCACTAATTGGGTCCCCATAAGCTCTTCGGAAACTTAGCTTGGGAGCTTAGTTCAATATTGGTACACGGCATGTTAATCAAGGATGTCTCTTGCGTGCTTGCTTGTGCAGCATATGACCCCCTACTGGGGGCCGCCCCGAAGGGCACGCTTTGCCGAGTTCGTCATGTCTCTCTCCCTCTCACTCTCGTTTGGTGAACGGACTTTTGGAATGAGAACCTCGACCAAGCACCGGTATGGATATATCAAGCGCGACACCTTGTTAAACCTTGCCAAGTACGTCTCGAAGGTGATTTCCTGTATGTTGCTGGCCAGGGTATGCTGGAGCACAAGAAGGAGGACTGGAATATGCAGCACCATTGATACCATAGCCTCAGTTGCTCCAATGCATGTTTTCCCATGCACAGACCGGGTTCACCTCAAAGAAGCTGCTGACATCAAACAGCTTTCCTGACGGCTTTGGATACTTGCAGCTGCGATGCAGCGGCGACGAACTGGGAGCAAAGCCAAAGGGCGACGTGGTTTCGCTAGGTTAGGCTAGTTCCTGGGTGTCTAAGTGTGTCTTGGCGTCTAGATGCCTCTACTGGGGTGTGGACATGTGTGGACATGTGTGGACGGTATGGCCAGACCTTGGGAGCGTGCACTGAGCGTACTCTCTCCAATGATTCTTATGTTGCGTCTTGCATCTTTCCTTCCTGAAGCCGAAAGCTCGAAGGAATCAAACAAGAGAAATATGAGATACAGCTTACTGGAAAAGCAGCTCCATGTCAAGTGCATGCCGCCTTCTGGGCTTGCTGGAGACGCCTCGGACTCCTTGAGCCTTGGCCATGGTCCAATCCAAGACTTCCAAGACTTGCAAGTGAACAGTAGCTGCTCTGCAGCTTACAGGGCTTGCACTGTTGAAGCCTGCGTCGAGGCGCACAGAAAAAACAGAAGCAGTATGAGACCTGGAAAAGAGTCCTCGAGCATGGCATCAAAAAAATGCTTCAAGCATGCCACCAGCGAGGTGAGAAGGAGCGGATAAGTGAACAAGCCCTGCGATGGGGAAGAAGTAATTGCCAACAGCAGTATCATCCCTGTTCATGCATGAGCAGGACAAAGCCAAACAGCGCATTGTGCATGTGTGGTCTCATGTCCACTATCTTCTCTTTGATGGTCCTAGCAGGTCCTATAGCAGGTCCTATAGCAGGTCCTATAGCAGGTCCTATAGCAGGTCCTATAGCAGGTCCTATAGCAGGTCCTAGCAGGTCCTAGTCCGGGCACTTTGTGGAAGCATTGCAATGATCACATCCTCGGCCCCCCGACGGCTTCAAAGCCCTCTCACGAAGGCGTTCCAAGGCAGCCAACCTCAAGCAATCTATTTCCTGCAAAGATCTGCAAAGATCTGCAGAGACATTCGGATATGTTCGGATTGCCAGCTCCGGAGCTCACTGACACTGCGGCACATGCGGTCAAGCCGCTGCTTCTCGGACAGCTTTGCACTTCCGATCTTGCCGCTGTCCTCGTACCATTCTTCCCAATTCCAAATAGAACTACAAAGGAGCCTACTTTCAGAAGTGGCATCGCCGTCACGGTTTAGGCATATGGTCTTCCACACATAGCCGTCATTGAATGTGCATGAAGTTCTTTTTCGAGTGCAGTCGTTGGCAATGGGGGCTCGAAAGCTCTCGAAAGCTGTCAAGACTGCACGAATATGGCAAGGCTCCTTGGTGTCCTTGCCCTCCTTATCTTTGCTCTCCGTAGCTGCATCGGCTACAGCCTGCTGCAATGTTCACGAATTCACCCTACATGTGTGCTGCTGTGCCCCCTGCCGGCCCCCTGCCAGCACATTTTTCCAGCCCGCAAGCGGCAGTCAGGTCTGGGCAAAGATGCTCTCGAGCACCTTTTGGGCCACTCTCACTCTGTGGCCCTGCCAGGCAATGGGCAGAACGGGGGTTGCAACCAATCTGAGCGTTCGAGCACTCCTCTACTGCACTCTGAACGAAAAAGGAGGCCTTTACTTGCTTCCAGTCTTGTTTCAGCACGCTCTTCGCGAGGCATCAGCCTTTCGCTTTGAGTGCTGCTTCAAGCCTGAAACGCACGCCCAAGATATGATACACTCAGGGCTTACATCACTGTGCTCACTGGCAGCATCGTGCAACAACTAGCAGAGCCTTCTTCCCAGGCTTCAGCTGTCACTCCCTCGGGGGTCTCGATGCAGGTCACACCCAGCTGCGAAACATCCTAGCATTGTCCAGTGACCCCCATGAATGGTTGAGAAAAAAACAGAAAGTGTCGAATGCTCAGAAAACATTAGCAGCAGAGTCCTGGATGTTCGATGGGTCATCATCGAAAAAAAGCATATCCTGAGCTACCGGCCAAGTGCCAGGTCAAGCCGGTCAAGCATCGAGGCTCGCATCGCTCGCCGAATCGACGGGCATACAAGCTTGCACTTCACTCAGCAGAGCAACCTCAAACGCCACGCCAGTCTTTGCAGCAAGTCGTCTGAAGTGCTCCCGCTTACCTTCCATGATGTTGTTGTAAACACATCACAACAAGAGAAAATTCCTTCAGGTCCTCCAGGACGATACTGCCCAATAACTTGCAATACTCCCGAATCTAGCCGAACCCATACCCCAGCCGGGGTAATGGAATGCGAATCCGCTGACTGCCGCAATGACGAGCCGCTGCTGAAGAAAATCTCCACAAGCTCACCCCCCTCGGCAACATCCCACATGGACACGCCATCCTGCACAGCATCTGCTCAGCCTCTTCAAAGCTTCAGGTTGGGGGCAGTTAAGGCATGAGCTGCTGGTATACTGAATATAGTGAATATAGTGCTTTTTGTCCTGGCTTACCTCTGACATGTTCTGAGGCTGCGGGTTCTTTTGTCTTGTTTGACCTTGTTTGGCCTTGCGCGGTGGCTGCGTTGTCTGGCGCTCAGAAAGTTCGATGTCGGATGGTCTGCTTGCTTCGTGCACTAGTGTGGAGGCTCATTAAATGCGGGGACCACCGCCTCTTACAGAAGCATCTTGCACAGCTTGTCCTGAAGAACAAGGCCAACTGGGGGTCGCGGCAGACAGACAAGAAAACCGGGTGGCTTTACGCTGACTGAGAATGGCAAACCGGGCAGACAAACAAAAACTATGTCCTATGCAAGACCTTATGCAAGTCTTAGCCGCGGATGGCCTCAATCATAAATTTGCGCAGGCACTCACGGCCCCAGTCTGGATGATCGCATCGACTGGCCACACCCACACGGGTATTGGCGTATCCTGGAGAGCTGTGCAGTTCCTGCGACTTCCAGGCAGCTGCAAAGGCCCCAAGATTTACAGAGGACTTCGTGAGAGTTCGGAACGATGGCCTTCCAGATACTCCGGATGTTGCCAAGAAGTTGCACTGCTTGACCGCCAGAGGCCTTCAGCACGCTTGGATCCGCTGTAGTTGAGAAAGGGGCACCTTGTTGCGAAGTGCCATCTTGATCTGGCAGGTCTCTGTTCAATTGTGGCTCACAGCATGCAACGTCGCTTCGGCGCCTTTCCGAATCATATACATCTCGGGGTACCAGCAGCACGCGTCCAAGTCAAAAACTACCAATGCTGGCGGAGAAGCCATGGCGCACAGTTTCGTAAAGAAAAAACAAAGACAAACAAGTGGCATGGCTGGTGTGTTTGCTGGACTGGATGCGACACTGTATTTTGCCGCTTGCCTGCAGTCTTATGGCTAAACCTCACAGGGTATCAAGAACGTTTTGATGTGGCAGCAAGCTCTGAACTCTTGTTGGCACAACTTCCAATGGTTGTGCACGGGAGCCCAGCGCTTTCTGCATCGAAGTACGGCTGAACGTTCAAGGTCGATCTGTGGCTTGGGGCTTACGCTTAGATGTCCTGAAGCCATCTCAAGCCCTGGACGCATGCATGCTGTTGAGTGTCATAAGCCATGAATGCATGGTTAGAGAGGGGCCAAGATCTACACTCTTGGGGACTTTAGTGCTGCATCTCTTCGGAGATCTGAGCCCCAACCTTGGACGGGCCCGCGGACTTGCTGACTTTGGCGACTTTCCGCCTGTCTGCGGGGGATTACTTTGCTTATCAACTTTATATCAAGATCCACACGCTCTTGGAACACCCCCATTTGTCATCATGGTGCCTCTTCTTGCGGCCAAATTCGTCAATTTCCTGATGCAGGATAGAGAACGAGCAATCACCAGCCCCCGCTGTCTTGCTGTCTGCCTCATCGTCAGAGTTCCAGTCATTGTGCGGCTCTGGATGCGGCATTGCTGGCCTGACCAGTTTCGCAGGTTCAGCCTAGCCCTGGTGAAACTCTCAAATAGCCGCAAGCAGCCAAGCGGAATACGGCGCATCATAATTCAGCACAATGCACTACAACTGCCACCTCACAAGGGTAAGTGAAAATGGATATTTGGAGGGAGATGATGTGGAAGCCTTCTTGGCATAGACCAAACGCCCATGGCCGAGCCCATGCCTCACACCCACGACGTGTGAAGCAAAAAACTCAGATAGATTCAGCCGCCCAAAGCGACCTGCCTGGACACATACCTCCGAGAGGCGGTCGAGCTATCGGAGGTCGAAACATCACGGGCCGGGCCTCAGGTAACTTGCTAGGCGCAAGCCTTTGCTGGAGCTTCATGTCACGCCTGCGCCCCACTTCCTTGGGCAAGACGCTCCGCCTGTCACCGCGATTAGCCGCGACTTGACCATTTTGCTCTTAGAGGTCATGATCGAAAACTTGCCTCGCGGCGCTTCTGCTGCAACCAGAACTCTTGGTTGAGCGCCATGAGGCATGTGGCTTACTTCTTGGAACGTGGCATTGTGTCATTTGCTGCTGTGACTGCTTGCGCTCGTCCAAACCAGAAGAATGGCAGCCTTAAATACTGTACTGGCAGCTTGTCGTGCGTTTGCACAGCTGGTTGAGAAGGCTTCGCATGTGGGCATGTACTGGTACAGGTGGCGCTGTGATCTTAGTTGCCTCTTCACACTACAAGAAAAACCTCTCATGAGACTGCGGAGGAAGTCATGAGCGCTTCTGCAAACGCCTGCCAAATCAAAGCACTTCCCTCGACCTCGACAGGACATTCAGCAGGAACTTCAGCAGATGCGTGCGAATAGGCGTTCGGCGCCTCGGATACAGCAGTGTCAAACTGTACCTTGCACCGACTTTCTCTGCGCAATGATCCTTTTCGCGTGCAAGACGAGGCTTGACAATGGACACTCAAGTACGAAAACTCTCCGTTCAATGACATAGGTGTGCCTGACATGTTCTAAAGAACCCTGACACGTTGGTCGCAGCTCGGATTCGCTACTCAGAGCGGCGCTCGTGCAATGAGAAATGGGAAGCCAGGTCCAAGCGTGCAAGAACAGTAGTAATTGTCCTGGCCACTGACAAAAAGTCTTGCATTATATGTCGTCTCTGACACTCGCTGCAGCTTCTATGACACTTTGCGTCCATGCTCCTGCCGTAGGAGAACAGAGATTCCGGGATGGACTCCTTACTCGAGGGAAGAGTGTGCATGGACAAGCTGCCTGTCTCGGAACACGTCGATGGATTGTCATGGCCACAGATTAGACTGTTCAAGAGTTACCAGTACACATCCTAAAACCCAAAACTGTCTACGTAGCGAATGCCATACAACGACATTCCACACGTGCTTGGAGAATTTGCTGCGCACTTGCACTCCTCGGGGGCAACCAGTAGCCGTTGCTCATCGTACCTTCTCGGGAACCATGCAAGAAGAGATCTCGACCAAGTACAGAACAGCAGCAAGGCATGGTATTTGCAATGGGTGCTTGATAAGTTTGTCCACCATTTCGCCCCTGTCCAAGTCCGACTGCTGCATGACCAGCTTCTGCACCTGGGCCCAGGTTTGCAAGAAACCCGTGGATCCAACTGGCCATGGTAAGCACTTGATCGCCACGTTGGCTGTGGGCTATGGGCTTAGGGCACATTGTTGAGGGTGCAAGACGGCGCTCAATTGGCACGATCAGGCACTGTGGGGATAGCTAGGCCTGTCGAAGACCTGGTCTAAGGTCTGATACGTACCAGTCTGACACGCTATCGGTCAAAAACGCGGTCTTGAGCGCTCTGCTCTCGGACGACCTGTTGGTTCGCGAATCTTGTGTTCATTCGTGTAGCTACTGAATGCTACTGAGTTGCAATCGGATTCTTAGGCAACTGAGAACTTAGGCGCCAACCCATTGGGAAATCGTTGGCGATTGCAAGTCGCCTTGCACACGTCCATTTGCCACATATGTCGATGCAAACAAAAGCGCTGCCGAGTTGAACCTGGCGTTCTTTGCTCCGCTGGTACCTGCGGCCCCAGAGATGCAACACATGCCCACGAATGCATCACAATACATCTATACATCTAGCGGATCTAGCACTCGCTTCACTCTGCTTTGCAGTACCACAACTTGGGGTCCCAGCTTCGAGGGTTGCCGGATCAAATCCGACCTCTAAGTAGGCTTGCAATATCTGCAGGCACCTTGGTGCAAGAAAGCACATTCCGCGTGAGTCTCGCTTCTATCATCTGTTCCTACCCCTGATTCCCTGACGTTCACTACAAGAACGATAACGACCCTACTTGCAGCATTACTGCTTCTGAAGCTACACGGCGGCTGGCTACGGCCACGGACCATGGGTAGGGCTCGGGCTCTGTGTCTTCTTCGTTTTTGTATATTGTCACTTGTTCTTCTCGTTATCTGTGATTTCGTGTTTCTTCTGCATTTGTCATTATTGCTCTTTATCTATCTCTCTCTCCTCCTCCATTTTCTTGGTATTTTCCTTTCTACTCTTTACTATGTATTGGTTCTTGCATTTTCTTCTTTACCCGTTCTTATCTATGCTTCTTCTTTCTTATGGATTATTTATTCTTTCCTCTTTCCTCTTTCCTCTTTCCTCTTTCCTCTTTCTTCTTTCTTCTTTCTTCTTTCTTCTTTCTTCTTTCTTCTTTCTTCTTTCTTCTTTCTTCTTTCTTCTTTCTTGTTTCTTTGTTCTATTTCTTCTTAGTTCTGCCTTCTTCTTACACAAAGCCAGAAGTGCTTGTTGCAAAACTAGCCCTACTTCCACGAAATACCACCGACACTACGAACACTGCTTGAAGCATGCGAAAACCGCTGAGAAAAATTACACGATTCCTGCTAGTAGTAGAAGTGCCCAAATCCTGTGCTTCTCTGACGTGGAACATGCACTCGATGGATGTAATCTCGCCACCCCACGGATGCCGCACACCGAGTCTCGCGCCGTTCCCCTGTGCTGGTGTCACTGGAACCGCAGCTCTCATGAACTCGATGGCCTGAGGGATCGCTGCAGGAGATCCCTTGAAGTTTCCTAATTGAGTTGTATTAGTCATTCATCCTTTCGAGGGCTGCCACTTCAAGCCGCCAGTATGGCAGCCATGGAACGTTTTGATGTCGTAGCTGCCAATATGATCACTGGGACTATTGTTGCTGCTGGGCTGTGGTGGTGCAGACTTGTGTTTGTGCGATCCCGGGCCTTGTAGATAACGAGCGTCTCGTGCCGAGTTTCAAGCTGTCATTTGGTTGGGCAGCAACAAACCCGTCCCAAATGAGCATTGCAAAAAGAAAGCTAACGATGCTAACCTGATTTCTTTGAGCACCCTTTTTCACTACGGCTGTACGTCTTTCAGTTCACAATAAGGCGACAGCAGCTGCTTGTAGAGTGGCATGTAATGAGTAGAACCCCGGCTTGCATACACTGGAGCATTACTTGCTGATTGTCATGCAGGCTCGCACTCATGCCTAGAATCGTCATGATGAGCTTCGATGCTTCCACCGTCACCTTGCACGGTACTCATCTTTGAAAATTTGCGCTTGCCGTGAACAGTCCCTGGAGCATGCAAGCACATACTGTCGAGCTGACAATAGCCGTCGCGAGAGCTGGCACAGTCTTGGTGCAGCGCTTGCTGAGGTATTGAGACAGCTCCCACCAGGGTTGTGGCAAGACCTGTCTAAGCTGAGACGCGTCAGCTATTTGTCCCAGGAATTGTCAGGATGCAGTGCATTTGAAAAGATTTGTTTTTGGCTGGGGCTCCTGCCCAGTGTGTCTTCATGGATCAAGAGGCAGGCCTGTAAAGACTTGCCATATCTGGCCACAACTTGGCTGTTCCTTACGCAGATGCTAAACAATGCTCCAGCGTGCCAGCTCTCGCGAGGTGGCCAGCTGCACCAGATCCGTCAGCAGCTGCCATCAACAAAGATAACACATGTATCTTGAAAACATATCTAGAACACTTTGCAAACTTGGCTTCGGCGCTGTGGTTGCACGACCAGCTGTCTCGGCGCATAACCTCCAGCCCGCAAAGACTAGTGCACATTGGCCCAACGTCGGAAAGTCGAGGCCCGTGCACAAGTTCGCCAAGCTCCTCTCGAAGCTGCACAGCAGCGAGGAACCTTGCTGGGAAATACAAATTGCCAGACTTTAAAACAGGATGAACTGAAAAGTATGGATCAATTCATGAACACAATATCCACTGAGCTTCACGCGGCCGAATCTGCTCGTGACATGAATTGATGTCG